AGGGGGGATGACAAGCGAGGCGCTTTTGAATCTCCGGTGGAGGGGACTGGGAGGCTGGGAGCGAGGCTGCGGCTCGGCGCCTCCGTGGAGCTGCTGCTGGGCTGACAATCGCTTGATGAGTCCATTTAGGTTGAAACGTAAAAGCAGATGTGAAGCTGTCTCGGAGGGTGGGGATCCAGGCGCAAGCGTGGACCCAACAGGTGCCCCGCTGCCACAGTGCCGTGGTGGTGGTTAAAGGTGCCGCCTCTCCGGGGCAAACCAGGACGCTCTGCTTTTCTTCCTCTCTCTTTTTGTTTTTCTCCTAAGGCGGGTGAAGGGGTCTCCCTCAGCAAACTCTGGCCTAGTCTGAATTTAAGGAGGCCCGGTATTCTGCTCGCGACATAGAGCCGCTCACCACTCTCACCCACCCCCACTTCCGTTATCCCGTCTTGGTTTTCGCCCCTCCACCAGCAGATCCTGGTTTCTGTTTTTTAATTTACATGTTGTTGACAATTGTGTCTAGAGCAACTGCTTAATTGCTCCCAGAAAACGGAAACAATCCCACCAGGCTGCTAATTAACTCGGGGGTCAGTATTAAGAAACACAATAGTTGGGAGGGTTTCGTATAAATGAACCAAAAGCACAACGGGTAAGTACTTGTCACCCTTTTAAAAATACAGCTGTGAAAGGTTGGTGTCTCATCCTAGGGTGCAGCGCGGTCCTAATTATCCACGGGGACCGAAGCACTTATGTGTATCACATAAGCCACACCACGAGCAGCTTTCAGTTCCCCGGACCCCCAGGTGGTTGGGCAGCTGGTGGCTAGGGCCCAGGAAGAAGGATGCAGGGGGTAGGTGTGAGTCCACTCATAACGCACTTTTGCATACACTGAAGTTCAAAGGCACACCCCAGCTTCAGCGTGCGAGGTATCAGTGAGATCTTCTGCTAGGGTGGACTGACCCATTTACCCCAAGGAAGCAGCTTTTCACTGCCAAGGAGCATAAGAGTCACCCTAAGCTGGAGACTGGTATAGGGTGCAAAGGAAACATCAGGGCTTAGGCAGGCTGGCCTTAGTCTCCCGGCCGGCAGGGCAGGGAGGAGGGGTAACTGGGGGGATGGGTAGGTATTTTATTATTCAGTTGGCCACCAGATGGAATGGTGATGCCTGACTCAGACTTGATAAGCTTTCCCAGGCTTCTCTGCTGCTCTCCTAGGCTCGGCTCCCTGTATTCCCTCCTGTTCTGGGAGACACTTTTCATCTCAGCAAGGAGCAATGGGGAGAAAGGCCCAAGGGAAATCCGTTCAGTCGCTTTAAAAGTCCCAGAACAGGCTGCACAACTCAAAATCGTTATGTTGTACACACATGGTTCTCCCAAACACTTACGGTGGTGATCCTAAGGACGTAGGTAGCAGGAACTGCATTTTAAATGTTCTCACAATGCAATTTTCAAGCACTAGGTGCAAGGGGTCCTGGTGGTACAATGGTTAAGAACTTGGCTGCTAACCGAAAGGTTGGCAGTTCAAATCCACTAGCCGCTCCACGGAAACCCTATGGGGCAGTTCTACTCTGTCCTGTAGGGTTGCTATGAGTTGGAATCAACTTGAGGACAACAGGTTTTTGGAGGCTATGACTGAATTGTTGGTCATTTCTTTATTGTTTTAAAATACACTTTAATATGCTGTATAGATTCAACGTATGAACACGTATGTGTATAGATATAGATATGTAAACACACAGAAACATCTGTACACGGAGCCTATATTGTAAAAGACTCAAATCTATCACACTATTGTTGTTAGCTGTCTTCAATTAGGCCTCTGGTCGTGAGGACGCCAAGCGTAACAGAAAGAAACACCAGCCAGTCCTGTGCCATCCCCACGATCAGTTACAGATCGGGCCCTTGTGATCCACAGGGCTTTCACTGGCTGATTTTTTTTTTTTTTAATTGTACTTTAGGTGAAGGCTTACAGAACAACTAATTTCTCATGAAACAGTAGTACACATATTGTTTTATGACGTTGGTTAACAACCCCAAAACATGTCAACTCTCT